CTCCCAAGTCTGGAGGCCAGAAATCTGAAATCAGTTTCACTGAGTTGAAATCAAGTTGGTGTCAGCAGGGCTGTACTCTTCTAGAGGCTCTAGGAGAGAATCTGTTCCTTGCCTCTTCCAGCTTCCGGTGATTGCCAGCATTTCTTGGCTTGTGGCTTGATATGGTTTGACTCTGTGTCTCCACCCAAATCTCATCTCGAATTGCAATCCCCACGGATTAAAAATCCCCATGGGAGCGGTTTTCCCCATGCTGTTCTTGTGACAGTGAGCTCTCAGGAGATCTGATGGTTTTATAAGCATCTGGCATTTCCCCTGCTTGCACTTCTGTCTCCTGCCACCATGTGAAGAAAGTCTTTGCTTCCTCTTCACCTTTGGCCATGATTGTTTCCTGAGGCCAAAGAAAGAAGGAAAAATTTCAATGAGGCCATGCAGAACTGTGAGTCAACTAAATCTCTTTCCTTTATAAATTGCCCAGTCTCGGGCAGTTCTTTACAGCAGTGTGAGAACAGACTAATACATGGCTGCATCACTCTAATCTCTATCTCCATGGTCATTGCCTTCATTTGTTTTCTGTTACTATAATGGAATACCACAAACTGGGTAATTTATAAAGGAGAGACGTTTGTTTGGTGTACAGTTCCAGAGGCTAGGAGTCCAAGAGCATGGCGCTGGCATCTGGTGAGGGTTGTGCCACGGTGGAAGGATGAAAGGTAAAAGCAAGTGCAGGAGACAGACAGAGAAAATGTGGCTAAACTCCCTTTTATAACAAACCCAGTCTCGTGATAACTAATCTACTCTTATGACAATGGCATTAATCACTTCCCGACAGCCCCACCTCTTAATAGTGTTACAATGGCAATTACATTTCAGCACAAGTTTTGGTGGGGACATTCAAACCATGGCAGTCATACTGCCTTCTTCTCTTCTCGCTGTGTCAGATCTCCCTACCTCAATCTGATAAGGACACTCATTATTACATTTAGGGCCCACCCAGATAATCCAGGAGAATCTCCCCCATCTCAGGATCTTTAACATAATTTTTTTTTTTTTTTTTTTTTTTGAGACGGAGTCTCACTCTGTCACCCAGGCTGGAGTGCAGTGGTGTGATCTCGGCTCACTGCAACCTCTGCCTCCCGAGTTCAAGCAATTCTCTGCCTCAGCCTCCTGAGTAGCTGGGATTACAGACGCCCACCACCATGGCCAGCTGATTTTTGTATTTTTAGTAGAGATGGGGTTTCACCATCTCGGCCAGGCTGGTCTTGAACTCCTGACCTCGTGACCCACCCACCTCGGCCTCCCAAAGTGCTGGGATTACAGGTCTGAGCCACCACACCTGACCAACATAATCACTTTTTTTGTTGTAAGTTAACACTCACAGGTTCCAGGGGTTACCATGTGGCTATCTTTTGGAGGGACATTGTTCAGTCTACCACAGCCTGCCCTCCGGCCCCCGAGGATTCACATCTCTCCCACATGCAAAATACATGCACCCCGTCCCCAAATCCTCAAATGTCTCAAACCATGCAACATTCGCAGAAGTCTGACATCTTATCCAAATAAGATCAACTCAGAAGTACCAAGTCTCCTCATCTAAAACAGATATGGATGAGACTCTGGTTATGAAACATCCTGGGGCAAAATTCTCCTGCTGTGAATTCGTGACACTAGAAAACAAGTTATCTGTTCCAAAAATACAGTGGCGGGACAGGCGTAGGATAATAGTTACAGATGTTTCCATTTCAAATGGGAGAAAATGGAAGAAAGGAAGGAGTCGCTGCTTCCAACCATTTTGAAATCTAGCGGAACAAATTCCATTTTGTTTCAAGGACTCAGAAAATTCCTCTGTAGCTTGAAGCTCTCTCCTCTGGTCCCATAGCCCTCCTCTCAGAATGTATGTCATAGTGATTCACACCTTTAGACCAGCAGGTCCTTTGTGGATCTTTCCCAGATAATATCATTTCTATTACCAGCTATGGCTGAGCATAGTGGAAGAGCTCTTTGAGTCACGTGCCTAATCTCTTCAGCACTAGCAAACATGGCCCCATTCTTGACTTTCTCTCTAGAGCATACCTTCCTGACAGTGCCTCTCCTAATTTTAGTGTCTTTTGCAATCTTGATAGGCTGAGAATTTCCCAAATCATCAAGTCCTGGATCCTTTTTGCTTAACAGTCCTTTCCTCCGTTTATCTCTTTACTCTCACATTTTATTAAAAGCAGCAAGATGAAATCAGGCCATACCCTTAACACTTTGCTTGCAATACCTCTTTAGGTAAATATCCAAGTACATTGCTTACGATCTGTCTTTTTTTTGTTTGTTTGTTTGGGTTTTAGATAAATAACACACATTGCTTGCAATTTCTACTTTCCACATAACTGGAGGACATAAATCAATTAAGTTTTCTACCAGTATGTAACTAGAATTGCCTTTCCTCTAGTTTCCAATAACATACTCCTCATTTCCTTCTGAGCCTTTACTAATGGCACCTTTTTCGGGAGGGGTCTGGAGTTTCACTCTTGTTGCCCAGGCTGGAGTTCAATGGCGTGATCTCGGCTCACTGCAACCTCTGCCTCCCAGGTTCAAGAGATTCTCCTGCCTCAGCCTCCTAAGTAGCTGGGATTACAGGCATGCACCACCACACCCGGCTAATTTTTTGTATTTTTAGTAGAGGCGGGGTTTCTCCATGTTAGTCAGGCTGGTCCTGAGCTCCCGATGTCAGGTGATCCGCCCGCCTCGGCCTCCCAAAGTGCTGGGATTATAGGCGTGAGCCACCGCATCCAGCCACTAACGGCACCTTTAATATTTATATTTCTGCCGGAATTCTGCTTACGATGATCTATGTATTCTCAAGGATGATATTGGCTTTCTCTCCCATGTTCCTCACTTCTTTCTGAGTCCTCATCATAACTGCCTTCAATGTTTACATTTCTCCTAACAGTCTGTTCATGTAAATGGAGGCTTTTTCTATCAAGTTCTTCAACATTCTTCTGGTCCCTACCTACCTATTATTCAATTTTAAAGCCACTTTCACATTTTTAGGTATTTGCTACAGTAGCGCTTCCCCTCTAGGTGCCAAAATTGGTATGAACTTCCGGTGGCTGCTGTAACAAATTGCTGCAAACTTGGTGGCAGAAAACAACACACATTTATTTTCTCAGAGTTCTCGAGGTCAGAGGTCTGAAAACAGTGTTACTAGGCCAAAACCAAGATGTCAGAAGGGCCATGCTCCCTTCTCAGGCTCTAGGAAGAATCCTTTCTTCTTCTTCTTCTTTTTTTTTTTTTTTTTTTTTGAGATGGGGGTCTCACTCTGTCACCCAGGTTGGAGTGCAATGGCACAATCTCGGTTCACTGCAACCTCTGCCTCCCAGGCTGAAGTGATTTTCCCACCTCAGCCTCCTGAGTACCTGGGACCGCAGACTTGCACAAACACACAAGGCTAAATTTTTTTGTATTTTTGGTATGTTTCCCAGGCTGGTCTCAAACTCTTGAGTTCAGGCAATATTAATCCTTATTAATCCTTATTAAGGATACATGTGATTACATTTAGAGTCCACTGTCATGGTTAATATTATTTAATATTATTTGCTCAAACTCTTGAGCTCAGGCAATATACCTGCCTCGGCCTCACAAAGTGCTGGGATTACAAGTGTGAGCCACCATATGCCTGG